ATACGCAGGGGTTTGTTGTGGTTAGGCCTCTGGTAGCCTCCCTAGGGTTTAGGGTTTAGGGTTTAGGGTTTGTGAGTGGGGGGTGAATGAACTCTTAAACCCTAAACCCTAGGCTGGACCCTAAACCCTAGACGAAACCCTAAACCCTCGACAAAACCCCAAACCCTAACCTAAACCCTAAACCCTCGCCAGCCCTATTTCTTTAGCTGAAGATAAAGGGTTAACAAAAGCGGGAAGCGGAGAACGTCAAACCCTAAACCCTAATCTCTAAACCCTAAACCCTAAAAACCCTAAACCCTGATCGACGGCCACCAAACCCTAAACCCTAATCTACAACCAATAAACCCTAAACCCAAATATAGCAACAACTAAACCCTAAACCCTAATCTCTTTCTATGAACTATGCAAGAAGCGCAAACCCTAAACCCTAATCCTGTGTCTTGTGCTGTTCATTAGGGTTTAGGGTTTAGGGTTTAGGGTTTAGGGTTTAGTCTAGCTGCTGCTGTCTCCTGTCTTTATATATTTATTTCTACATAAGCAAAACATATTTTAATTAACAACAAAAAAACTTCATTTTAATTTAATTTAGGGTTTATCTCCCCTCCTAGCAGCAGCAGCAGCAGCAGCAGCAGGCGCGCAGACAAGCGCCGCCGCAGCCGCCGCTGCAGCAGCAGCAGCAGCAGCAGCAGCAGCTGCTGCTGCTGCTGCTGCTGCCACAGTGCATGCGTTCAGAAACATCTTTGGCGCTGATTGAGCGAAGGAGGAGACGCAGTTATCTTGTCTTGTCTTTTTTTTACTACAACACAGCAGCAGCAGCAGCAGCAGCAGCAGCAGCAGCAGCAGCAGCAGCAGCAACGCTTAGGAGTCCGTCTCTTGGTGTTTAAGATAAAGATGNGCAGCAGCAGCAGCAGCAGCAGCAGCAGCAACGCTTAGGAGTCCGTCTCTTGGTGTTTAAGATAAAGATGAGTGGTTTATTGTTAAGGAGAAGCAGCAGAAGCAGCAGTTTTCTGCTGCAGTATGTTGCTGCTGTTGTTGCTGCTGCTGCTGTGTTGGGGTGTATATACACCGCAGCTCCTGCTGCTGCTGCTGCTGCACTCTACAGCAGCAGCAGCAGCAGCAACGTAAAAGTTTTAACTGCAGCAGAATTTAAAACACAAGTCATCAACTCCCATGATCTTCATCTCGTTGAGTTCTATGCAGACTGGTATAAACCCTAAACCCTAAACCCTAAACCCTAAACCCTAAACCCTAATATATGAAATCCTAAACCCTAAGTAAACCCCATAGCCCACGAAACACTAAACCACAATTTAATATTATACACATTCTAGGGTTTATAAATTATACTAAACCCTAAACCCTAAACCCTAAACCCTAGAAAATATATCTCCAGCTTACATATAAAGATTCTCTTTCTTCCCCCCGATAAACCACGAAGTCAATCTAAAAACTAGGGTTTAGGGTTTAGGGTTTAGGGTTTAGGGTTTAGGGTTTGTATACAGGTGCGGTCACTGTCAGCGGTTTGCGCCTGAATACGAGAAAGCAGCAAAAGCTTTAAGGGGTTTAGCTTCTGTTGTTGCTGTGAATGATGAAACCCTAATGCAAGAATTTGGGGTTTCAGGGTTTCCTACTGTTATGGTTGTTGTTGGTAGAGGTAAACCCTAAACCCTAAACCCTAAACCCTAAACCACCATAAACCCTAAACCCTAAACCCTTGGGACAAAACGAACGCACTCTTTGCGTACCCTCAGCTACGCTAAACCCTAAACCCTAGTAAACAATGAGACGTAGAACACTAATACTCTACAAACAAACCCTAAACCCTCGATTACATAAACCCTAAACCCTTGATTGCATAAACCCTAAACCCTTGCTTGCATAAACCCTAAACCCTCGCTTGTACAAACCCTAAACAATCACACGCTCAACCCCCTAAACCCTTTTCAACAAACCACACAGCTTTAAGAAGGCGAGCGGGAAGGGTTTAGGGTTTAGGGTTTAGGGTTTAGGGTTTAGGGTTTGTGGTTTAGGAGGAAACAAACCCAAAACATTTAAATATGAAGGCAACCGCGACGCGAGCTCTTTGTTAGAGTTTGTGGTTATGCACATAGGCAAGCTAGCAAGAGCCAGGCTAGCAGGTAAACCCTAAACCCTAAACCCTAAACCCTAAACCCTAGATCCTAAACCCTAATTGTAAACCCTAAGACGTATTCTAAACCCTCGGCATAAACCCTACACGTGAAACAAAGGCTGAGACGCTCTGCTGCTGCAGCAGCAGACAGAATGTTGATGTTATGGGAGACAGAGAGGGTTTAGGGTTTAGGGTTTAGGGTTTAGGGTTTTGTGCACGCAGGAAAGATCGACTCCGGCAGCGGCAGCAGCAGCAAGAGCAGCAGCAGCAGCAGCAGCAGCAGCAGCAGCAGCAGCAGCAAACCCAAAAGCAAAGGCCCATCGGAGGTTATTGACTTGAAAGATACAAACTTCGATAAAATGGTTATGCAAGACGAGGAAAATGTTTGGTAGGGTTTAGGGTTTAGGGTTTAGGGTTTGTGGTTTAGGGTTTGAATTTTCTGTGTATCTAGGGTTTAGGGTTTAGGGTTTAGGGTTTGTATCGACCTCTCTCTACACATATATCCTCAACCCTGCATCCGTTTCTTCTCGTTCTCCGCCCAAACCCTTCCATGACCCAGAGCCTAGGGTCTAGGGTTTAGGGTTTAGGGTTTAGGGTTTAGGGTTTAGGGTTTGTGTGCAGGTTTGTGGAGTTTTATGCGCCGTGGTGCGGCCACTGCAAAGCCCTCGCCCCCCTATGGGAAGCAGCAGCAGCAGAGCTCAAAGGAAAAGTAAAAGTAGCTCGGGTCGATGCAACAAGCGAGAAGGTTTTAGCTTCTAGGTTCAGTATTCAGGTCT